GAGAGAGAGAGAGAGAGAGAGAGAGAGAGAGAAACTCTTACGATAGATGTATATAAAAGTTGTTGAAAAGTTTTTAACTTTGAGATGAGAATCAGTGTTCAATTGTATTCATACGTGAGTTGTTTTGCTTGTATTTCATCTCACAATCACTTATCGTATCCAACATTCAATACACGCATCAAATTATATGCGATAAACATATTGTGACAATTGATTGTGTATTTTAATTGCTATCGTAATTATTATATCGATAACTATATTATATATCATAGCATATATTATAAAGTTAATTTAAATTATAGTTAATTTATAGTGGTATTATATGTGTTAAATAGTGTGTACGTGAAAATTGGGAAGTGTGCGTGGGGGCAATTGTGATTAACCAAGGGGGTGCTATTTAAGTGCGTGAACAGTAGAGTGTGCACACCTTGGTGGTGTATTTATGTGTGCCATGGATTTACACTGTATACTATCGATCGTCGAGGGAGGTCTGCACGCGTACGGCGGCGGTGTCGGACACGTTGGCCGGGCCTCCAGACTGGGACTGACCCAAGATTTGCAAGACTCCGGCCACCAGTCCATACACATGACGTTACAAGAGTCGGACCTCTGGAAGGAGTTCCACCGCAAGACCAATGAGATGATTGTGACCAAAAGCGGACGGTATGTAATTGTAATGATGATGATGTTCAAGGTGTTTGTAAATAGTTTTGTAACTTTTAATTTGTTGAGGCATTATAGTTTTTAAATTCAATATTTATTTATACATTGACTTTAGTTTAGAAATAATTTAATTGTTTTTGTTTATTATATGTGTAAATATTATAAGTATTTATTGATTGAATTGAAAATAATATACAAATATAATGTTTGGGAATAAAAAACAAAAATTAAAACTTTTTATTTAATAGTTTGTATGCTTTTTATACAGCAAATAAAATTTCTTTAACACTTTTATTGATAACATTTTAGTCACGAAAACAAAAGCAAAAAACAAAACCACTTAACAAACTATAAAACAAAACACTTTTACCTTTAGTATACTATAAATACACTATATTTTAGTATCTGTGCATAAACGGGGTAAAAACAACTGGGTACAGGTCAGGGAGGGGCAGGGGTTGCGCAACAAACAATACAAATTCACTAATATTAACATGATATTTTTTATACCACACATACCAATGACTACTCTAGCCGTATGTTTCCGGTAATCAAGCTGAACATCGACGGCCTGGAGCCCCGGGCCATGTACTCCATAGCCATAGAGTTTGTACAGATCGGTGGCCATCGATGGAAGTATATGAACGGCGATTGGGTGGCCGGCGGTAAGTCAGAGCCGGCGCCCCAACAGTCGCAGTCGCTGTACATACACCCGGAGTCGCCCAACTTTGGCGCCCATTGGATGCGAGAGTCCGTGTCGTTCAGTAAAGTGAAGCTCACGAATAAGCCGTCCGCGCAGTCCGGTCAGGTACGCAAAACTCAGGTGTGTGTCCGCCAACTGACTACCCCCCGACTATCTCAGCCTTCAATTGCTATTCGAGAGAGAGAGAGAGAGAGAGAGAATTAAAAAGCTTTTAAATCAAATAAAAATATATTTAACAAAATAAATGGTAATAAAAACTTTAATTATAAAACAAGACATACCGTAAGGCAATGGAGATCTCTTGATATGGGGCCTATCCATACCGTACGGCACCACACGATGCGATCGTAAAGTGGTCATCCGTTCGCAACCCATACCCCCGGGGCCACCGCCCCCTCCTATACCCTGATGTTGCTGTTGGTGGTGATGATTGTATGGGTTGACCGCCACCGGGCTATTGCACCAACTGTTGGGAGGGGTGGGCGGCGACGAACCACCGCCAGCACCCGTATGTTGATGAGGGTGGGGGTGATGATGATGGGTGTGGTGGTGGTGATGATGTAGGCTGTCGTTAATGACCACTTTGTTGGGCGGTATGATAACCCCCTCACCCCCGCCGCCGGGGCCTCCCATTTGATTGTTGTTAATCTCGTTGATGGGCCGCTCGCGGGCGTCCTGGAAAGCCTTGGCGAACGGGTTGTGCCGTATCTTAAGTTGTGTTACCTATTATGGTGTTTATAAAATTGCATGTTTAGCATAGATTTGCGTTACTATTGTAATAGATTTTTAGCTAGCACAATTAAAATTATTGATAGTTTAAAAATTGTGTATTAACAATGTAAAGTTTACATGTTAATTATCATACATTGGTTATACTATTTTACAACTTGATCATTTGTGCTTTTGTGATTACATGTGTCCTAAGAATTATTGTAAATGTAAACTTATTATTCTGAATGAATGCTGTACTTTATATTTGTTTGTATTGTTAGCATAATGTATTATTTGTAATTTGCAATCAATCAATTTGCAATAATAACAATAATGCAACAATGTATTTAGTGCGTGCCCAATAATCACCATTCTCACTTTTAGTGTTAATTTTATTACTTTCGCACATATTATGCGAAAAAATATACGCTTTTAAAATATCATTCATTCATACCATTCATACTATGCTATCAGACAAACTACAATATTATCTGTATATAAGTCTCGGATTAAAAACGCTTGGTTTTATTATTAATCCCTTTTTAATCTATGAATTCATTTGCAACGTCTCTCTCTCTCTCACTCACTCACTCACTCTCTCAATACTTTTTAATATAGTAAGCCATTGACCCGTCCTGTATGGCACCTGACCTAACCGTCGCGCTCACACCCATAGGGAATACATGTCTCTTTCTCACCATAGGCTAAAACCTCAATACATTAATACACTGTCTCTACACTAATACCTAAAAATAACATCTCATGAATGAATAGACAGCTCAAACAAAAAAATTAATAAACCAATGTATAGACAGGGTCAATGGATAGCCAGTTAGTGTGGCCTTATAGACATAAACCAGTGGCCAGACTCGAGCCAAATACACAGTTTATAAATATAAATAAACATGGTTTGAGACACACATGGTATAGCTAGTGTTGTTACTAACCTCCTCGTTTTGGTAAGCGGTGACCGCGATGAATTGTGTCTCCATGAAATTGAACGTCAATATCTTCTCGCAATTCTCCTCACTGTCCACTCGTATGACGTGCACCCGTGGCTCGTACT